GGCGCGCGCCCCCCCCAGCCATGCGTGCTCCAGCGTCTCGTCCTGTTCGGGCATCTCCATGAGCAGCGGGTCAGAGAGCTTCAGCCGCTCGGCTAGCTGCGGAGCCAGGAGGGCAACCGGGCTCGTCACACATCTCAGCTCCACAGGGGAAGAGAACGACTCTCGCAGCAATTGCATGTGGCCAGGCACAGGCCCAGGGAAAAATAGCACCAGAGCTGCACTTTTTTACAATACGGGGCTTAAAGCAACACCAGTCTCTTGTGCAAGATTTATTCCCTCTCCTGCATTGCTGTGGAGAGGTGCTGGGCTGTCCCGTGCCCTGCAGAGAGCTTCCCAGCAGGGCTGTATCAGCCATCTCCGCAGAGAGGTTGAAATAATCACATCAAAGATGCTCCTCACATCAGAGAGGCAGGTAACTGTTACCATCCTTTTCTCCCCCGAGGTAAACGAGCACCTTTAATCCCACTTGACAGCCAGCCCAGGGCAGCGGTGGGTTTGCAGGACACCCCAGCAGGAACTCCAGGATCAGCCCAGCTCCCAGGGCTGTGCGCCAGCCCCGTACCTGCCCCACGAGGACGGATGGGAGCCGGTAGGGTTTGAGCTAAGGGCTCACCCGGCCATTTCCTCGCCTGGCTTTGCAACAAGCATTACCATCACTAATAACCACACAGAAAACAAAGACAGGCCTGGGAGGGACCCTCTGAGGTTACCTGATCCATCTGCCAACGCTCGAGTCCTGCGTGCTCACACCAGCCCGTTTGTCTGATTTGCACTTACAAATCTCCAAGGAGAAGATTTCACAGCCTCCCAGGCCTGTCCTGGTGCTTAACGTCCTTTGAGCTAAAGAGTTTTTTCTTAATATCTAAGTGAAATCTTCCCTGCTGCAAGTTAAGCCTCTGGATTCCTGCTCCCCCAGAAGCTGCAGGGACAATCAGGCACCATCCCCTGGAAAGCAGCCTCCTGCATGCCAGAGGGCTGTTATCACATCCCCCATTCCCCTTCCTCCCCCAGCATATCTTGCCTGGGAAAAATAACCCTGAGGCCTTCTGCAGAGGTCATTTGCCCCTCAATCTCTTATCACCCCTGCTCTTCTCTTCTGCACTTGCTCCAAATTGGCCCTGTCTCCGGGTGCAGCATCCCAAACAGGGCACAGTGCCCCAGCCAAGACCCCCGAGACCTGAGCACGGGGGGATTATCACCTCCGTGTCTCACATATGCCATTCTTACTCTCACAACCCAGAATAACATTATAAAATTGGCCCTTTTTTGGGGGCTTTTTTTCTTTTTTTGCAACAGCATCCTGTTATGTTGCTGCTCGGTATTTTTTCCATGCTCCACTATCTCCCCCAGGTCCCTCTCTGCAGTATTGCTGCTGTGTATTTAATTTCTCCTGCAAGAGCAGGGTCTGTGCCGCCCCGGCTGCAGGCATCTCAATAACATGGGGCTCCAGCTACCATCGGAGCAAGAGGCTTTTCTGGGGCCACCCATCCCACCAGCCCAGCGGAGATGGAGGGCTCCCTGCAGAGCTAAATCCCAGTCTGGAGAAATTGCTTAGGCAAGGGTCCAGTTTTAAGACAGCTGGATGAGGGGAGCTGACACTCAAAGCACCGCCCTCCATCTGAGTATTTACTGAATTTTCTCTTATGGTATCGACCCACTTCTTGGGGATTTATCAAGCTCCCTCCCTGCTCCTTCATGCTCATTTATCTTCTACACTTTGTTATGATGCTGCCGCGTCTCGGGCCACCAAAAGCCGTCCAGAGGTGACTTTGCAGCTGAGCCACCCTCCGCAGCCACACAGGTCTCAGCTATCCCCATCACCCATTTCTTCCTACTCCCAAAGTTCTTAAAAACAAAGTCCAAACCAGCACAAAACACACTCCCCAGCTCCGGGATGTTACAGCAGGACACAACCCTCACAGCTGGAGCCCAGCTTGGGACAGGGACTGGTCCCAGAGAGCGGAGTAACCCAGCACCCAGCCAGGAGCTTGCACTACCTCCAGACCCACCGTCCCATCTCTTTGCAAACACACATGTGTTCATCCTAAATCAATTGCAGGAAAGAGGAAATTATAAGCATGATTACTCCTAAACGGGGGGAATGTTTAATCCAAAAGCTAATGTGCACTTTGATCCAATATTAATGAACCAGCACCTGGTTGTATATCATCCCCAGCTTCAAAAGAGGGGAAGTCTTAATCAAACACTAATGTGTATCATAATTTGTAACACAGTCTAAAACATCAAAGACAAGAGCGTCTACGAATGCACTAGTTTTTCAGATGAAAGTGTTTTCTCCCAGGAGAAGCATTATCCCCAGCAGAACGGTAGATCTGAGAGGCTGTTAGACAGTAAATAGGTTTTGACGATGGGGTGGGGGGCCGCGCCAGCTGAGTTTTGGGCAATTTCTACAGCACCTGCTTCAGGCAGGCATCCCTGCTGCCCCTCATCTCACAGCACCGCAGCTTTCGCCCCCTTCCCAACGGAGGAAGGCTTCGAGCAGCCCCAGCACTGCCCCAGTGATGCGTGCGGAGTGGCCAGACCCGCTCGTCTGAGCCCCCAAGGTTGGGGGCACCTGGAACATTTTGCTTCTGCCCTCCCTGCCCTGGCACCCCACTCGTGAAGTAGAGGAGCTGGGCTTAGGGATACAAGCTGGGACATGTTCCTGTTCACTATCACCCCAAAAAAAAGCCCCCGGCAGCTAAATGCAACTGTGGGATGCTGTGCTGGGGGGGAAGTGTCAAGCACTCACACTTCAGCTTCTTAAGTCTGTTCCATTTAGAAGTTCAAAAAGCCCCTCCAGGGTAGAAAACATCCTTTGCTTCCAAATAACTCTGCTCCTAATTGGCAGTCAACGCAATTCCTTTGTTTTCTACCCTAAATCCGTGGGTATTAGAGACCCCGCGGAGGTGTTGGCTTTGCTGCGCTCAGCACATGCCACGCAGCAAACCCTGGGGTGGGGGGCGGCTGCTCAGAGCTCACCCCCAGCCACGGGGAAAGCCCGTTGCTTCCCAACGCACCGAGTGCTGAATGGGTACCACCCTGCCAAGGATGCCAGGGGGTTCTGAGACTCACCTTCATCACTTGCTGGGCCAGGACAGGGTGGCTGGCCGGATCCTGGCCCAGGAGCGCAGCGGCGATCTGCTCGCAGTATTGCAGGGCCTGGGCTGGGAGCCCGTAGTCAGCCAGGCGAGAGGCGTAGAGGAGCTTGTACACCTCGGGAGAGGGAAGCAGAGCAGAAGTAAGAGAGCAAGGAGATACCAATGCCCATAGGTGCCCTCTGGCATGTCACATCTCACCGTGACTCAGAGTACCCTGGGCTGTGGGTCTCACCACCCAGAGGTCACCTGCAACTTGGGGGCACCCCACTCATCCCCATGGGCAGTCCTGCCATGCTCCACAAACCACGGTGCTGTCGCAAGGCCAGACCAGCAGACGAGCACGGAGCGCGCCAGCCCACCATCTTCATTTATCCCCCTGATCTGTGCGGCGCCCGAGGCGGCGGCAGCCAGGTACTGGCAACATGAATGGCCCATCCATTGCCCGGGGAGCAGAAGGGGAGCCAGGCCTGAGAACGTACCCATCAAACACACCGTGCCCCAAAACCTGCCCCGGAGGAGCCCCTCGGCCAGGACAGCCTCCCCATCGTCCCAGTGAGGGGAGGAGCCTTGTAGAACAGCCTGAACCCCTGGCTTCAGGGGGATGGATGCACATTTTGGGGCAGGTCTGAGCTCCTGCACCAGATGTGCTTGTGCATCTCCGCTACCTGGAAGGGGAGCAGGAAGGATTTGGGCTGTCGTAGCTGCTGGCAGTACTCAAAGATTTCCATCCGCTGGATGGCCTCTGTCCTGGCAAACTGGGTGAACGCCTGCCTGCAGAGGAGACGACTTGGTTCAGCAAGCAGCAGAGCTCCCCCCCACCCCCGGACAGCCCCACAGATTCACAGCTCCACCACTGTGCCAGCCCGCAGCGGGAGAGGTCCAGGGCAAAGCTCACATGAAGAGCAGTAAAACCCCACAGAGATTGCTTTTGTGTAGAAGTGAGATCCCGGGGATAGGGAGAAGGTTGGACACGTCACCCTGGCAAGGGCATCGCCTGCCTGGGCTCACTCACCGGTGGCTGCTGCCCAAAAGAGCCATGCGGTCTGCTTTCGCCCCAAAGTAACTGAAAGGAGTATCGACCACCAGGTAGCAGAAATGAGCTGCTTCGACTGCTCCCCTGCCAGCTGGAAGGGGGGAAAACAGACAAACACTTAGTCCTGAAAGAGAGGTCATTGCACAGCCAGCATCATTTTGGAGGCCTCTAAGCTCAGATGAAAACCCAAGTGCTTCCTTTTCTTCCCTGCCCATTCAGACCCTGCACCCTCCCTTCTCCCTGTTTTTTGTCTGTTTTCCCTCAATTGCTGCTTTCTGTACCTAGGAGGGGGTTTCAGTTCAGTGGTAGGACCAAGGGAGCCTGAGGAGGCTCCAGGTCTGCAGGGTGCTATTATTGGCATGAAAAATCCCCGAGGGTCCCCACCACCAGGACCAAGTCTCAGTCCCTGCAGCTTCGTATGCCCTCCCTGGGTCCAGGCGCTCCACGTGTCTCCAAAAGAGCAGCTAATGGATGTGTCTGAGCCCGACTCATCTGCCAACATGAAGAGCAGCAGGATCCACCCACACTTCATCCCTGCCGCCACACAGGCGCTGCAACTCTGGAGGGAGAGGCATTGCAGGTGTCCACCCGGCAAGACAACAGGAACCTCACTGCTCACAAAGGTCTCAGCTCACCCAAAGTGTCTCCCATGGTGACAATGGCTCGGTGGTTCAGCTCCATGTCTCCAACCTTGTTGGACAACATCACAGCCAGGTGGGGCCTCCAGTCTCCCCACGTGGCATCCCCACAGCACTGGAGGGAGACGAGAGAGGGAGGGTGAGCAGAGATGGTCACTACGAGGTGGGTGACAGCACGGGGGTGTGCACATTGGGTCAGCCTCTTGCTCACGGACCAGTGCTGCCTGGGGGATCCTTCCCGACATGAGCTGGAAGAGGGTCTGCAGGGGATCATTGGTGGCCAGCGTGCTGGTGAACCTGCAAGGAGACAGCAGAGATAGGGCTGCCGTGCCGAGACCCCAAACCCTCGTTTACCTCCAAGGGCAAATCCCAGACACGCCAGGAAAGCAGTGTCCTGGGGGGCTTCCCGGAGAAGTCAGAAAGGATCATCAGCCCAACAGGCTGATGATCATCTGCATTACCTCCAGAGCAGGCAAGTCTCCAGGACAACGCCAGATAAAACCTTCTTAAAAGGATTTGGGTTGCACAAGCAGAAAATTTCCGCTTAACTCTCCCTGAAGGGATCAACCCAATCCCGACTAAGCACATTAATTCCACCAGAAAACATTCATACGAGTGGGATGAACAGGTCAGACCAGGCTGGATCACAACAAAGATAGCTCAGCTCCCCCTACCCCAACAGCTGCCTTTGCTAGGGCAGCAAGGGCAAAGCCAAGGACTCAGCATAAATCCACCCCACATCTCCTGGGAATGGCTTTCCTTCTGCTTTCCAGCCTCTGTTTGGTTTCTCCTGTCCCTTAGGAAGTCAGAAGGACTCAGGCCCATCTGGATGGATGCCCTCTCTCCCGTTCACACTTTCTGAAGGAGTCCAGCTGAAATCAATGCTCTTTTTTCAGTGCACTGGGGCTGAGGGCACCCAAGGGGATAACAGGCTTGGCAAAGCCAGTCACAGAGGATCATCCCTTGCTTTAGCTTCTCCAACTTACCCGGTAAGCACCCAGCTGTAGGTCCGAGGGTCCATCTTGCTGGAGAGGAAGAGGGCATGGCCCCACAGCTGGTTTCTCATGGCCCAGACCAGAGCATCCTGCAGCCAAGGTGAGGAAGAAAAAGGGTTTGCACTAACTCCACTTCCCTGCCCTCTTCTTCTGCCAGGGGACCCTCTGCTCACCCAGCTCAGAGACGAGCTCTGATGACTGCTCTGGCTTTAACCAATACCCTCAAAAAAACCTCTTCCACATTCACAAAGGCCCCTTTGTCTTTCTACCTTGCACAATGACAAGAACTGGGACCTTCACAGCAATATTGTCTTTCCTGAATTTCCAGGTCTCTGCTGCCTGTTAGCACACAATCCACCATTGTGCCCACCAACCCGGGCACCCAAGCTTCTCTGCATCCAACCCTCCTCTCTCTCCCTGTGCCTCTGCCATCCCTTGAGATCACATAGCTGCAACTAAACCCACGGTGCTGGTAAAAGCCTCCGCATCTTGTCTTCACTCAGGGCCCCATCCCAGTTCCCAACGGTGGGAAATCACAGCCATAAGCCCTGTTGGACAAACAGCTTGAAGGGTTGATACCGTGACCACAAGGCATCTCTTGACCACCCTTCCTTTTAAAACCTGAAGAGGCCAAAGGGGCCAAGAACAAAAGTCAGCCCTGTGTCCCAGATCCCACTCACCACTTACTTTCTTCCTGCCATAGTAAAGGAGTTTGGTGAACTTCTCCACTATCTGTGCCTGCGTCTCTACAACAGGAGGGACCTCTCCTGTGATGAGGTCTAGTGTGCCTGGCTGACGTGACACCCACTCGTCATCCGTCAGGCTGATCAGGTTTGCCGCGGGGTTTTGCCTCTTGTACTTCTGGCGCCTGCAGTCTTGCATCAGCAGCTCAGACGTGTCCGAGCCCACCATGGACTGTGAAAGAGAAAGCAAAGAGCAAGGCCCATGGAGGCTGACCCATGGGCAAAGGCTGGCAGCACTTCTAGTCCAACACCCTTACACTCCTACCCTCACCCTAGCACGTCTCCCCAGCAAGACCAGCCTTGGCCACCAGCACAACTAGAGGGCCAGCCACCCTTTGGAGGGCAAAGGATTCAGCACAACTAGCAAGACCTTCACAGCACTCGCTCTGAAGATCTTGTTCATCTGCTTCCAGCAAGCAGCCACAGATTAGATTGGGTGGATTTCATTGGGTTAAGGGAATAATCCCCTTCTAAGCGTAAACGCTGGCTCCTCATGAAAGTGGCAACAGTCCCTTTCAGAGCTGCTATAGCATTGGGTTGTTGGTAGTTCACGAGGATGAAAAGCAATCCAGGAGAAGGGTTTGCTCCAAATATCCAGGCAGAACCAAACTGATTGATGGTACTGTGGGAATGGGATGCTTTTGAGGTGCACTCCCCTGAAAATAGCAACTGGATCAAGAGGGACAATAAAGGACATATAACTTGTCTCACTTTAAGATCAAAAGGGTCATCCCCTTCCCATGGGACACCTACCCCATTCTGCCGGCAGAGGAGGACCAGGAGTTTCCAGAGAAGAGCTGAATCTCTGCCTTTCTCTGTTGAGAGATCACAGCTTGTGGCTATCTTCTGCTGGCAAAACGTCATCACATCCACCTTGTGCAGATCTTCCCTACAGCAAAGAAAGGCACCAAAAGAAACCCAAGGCAAAGCAATCTAGGACATCTTTCAGACTCAGAGCATCCCCCGGTTTGCTGATGGGGATGCCAAAGATTCAAAGTGAGAGACAGAGAAGTTCCCCAGCATCAACAACCACACATCACCCTGGCCATGCCAAGCTCAAAAATGCTTAAATTTGATCCTTATCATGACTCTCTGCAGATTTCTGTGTTTCAGGCTGCAGAGGGCATCTCAAAATCCTCTCTCTGCCCTCCTGATAATATTTTGATCCATCCACCTGTAAAGAACCTCAGTTTTGCTTAGCTGCGCTGCTGTTACAGACGCGGATATCCGAGGCTGTAGGAGCAGGCACACGTACGGGCAGGATCTTTGATAACTGGCACAGTGCAGTGAGAAAGACATGCTTGTGACCACACAAACCCTTCGGGTCTGAAACAGAAGCAGAAACCTTTAAGTTACGTGCAAACCAGGCAGAACTGCTGTCTTACAATAAAAAAAATCAGACATTTGGAAAGAAAAGGTGGCTGAGACACAAGATCAGGCAGGAGACAGGGACACTGATCCTGGTTCAATCACACCAACATATATATGGATATTACTAACATCCCCTTCAGCACAAGTAACCTCCAGGTCTTCTACCCAGCTTCTGGGCATACACAACTTTTGCTCAGTGGTTTGTTTTGGGTTTTTTTTTTTTCCTCTTGCACACTCCTTTTCTCTCCCCACTTTGGTTACAAGTGACCAGAAGACACACTGGTGCAGCCAGTATGATACAGAGCCAGCCTGATGTAATACGCCATGATTCATCCCCAGGCTCACACTGGAAGACGACACATAAAGGGCCTGACCCTGCCGTGCTCAACAGCCCCAGGGGACAAAAACCTTAGGAAAAGCTAAACCACAGGTGGCCTCAGGGCTTTAGACATCCAAAGAGATCTCCCAAAAATCAGTTTTCTGGGGCACGAATACAAAATAAGGTCAGACATACAAACCACACTAAACCCACACCTTGTGAATATTCAAAAAACCCCAAATCTCCCACAATCCCAGCCAACTGATACTACAGCAAAAAGGATAGGTTCCTAATCTGAACCCAGACTTGGCCTTTGCAGATATCATCTCCCAAAACCATGGGGACACCAAAGTCTGCCTTGAGCTCATGTCTCCTCCAAAGGAGAGGTGCTCCCAGACCAGCCGTGCCAGCAGAGCCAGGAGGATGCAGCTCCTGGACCTGCCCATGTGGCATACCTGGCCAGGGGCCCCGGGAAGGCTTTTAGCTCCTCCAGCTCTTTCGTGTCATGAAGGATTACCTAAAAAACAAGAGTAGCAGCTGGACTCCAGCAATCAAGCCAACCCTAGCTGGGCTAGCTGAAAGTCAGTGCCTTGGCAGGGGGTTCAAAGGTGCTAGTGATGCTGTGCCATCTTAAGGCAACCCCAGAGCACATGGGGGTTACCTAAATGATCATCAAGGACCTCAATGCTAAGGTCCAGGAAAAAAATGCCTGTTGAGATGGCATCTGCCTCCTTTAGGAGGCAAAATAGGAAGAGAAAATGCTATGGTAGGCTCAGGGGATGGATATGGGCTCCATATCAGAGGACCTCAGGAAGGTGAGCAGATTTGTCCTTCAGAGAGGCATGGACTGCATCTGTCCCCATCAGAGGGGTTTGCTTTGAACAGGTTATGGACAACACAAGGGTTATGGAGCTGAAGGAGCAGGACACGGGGCTCAAAAGCTGAAAGCAATACCCAGGGAGGGGCTAGTACAATGCAGACTCAACAGGCCACGTGGGCTTGAGAAGAGATGGCAGCAGGGGACAAGAAGGCAGCTAAGGAGGCTGTTTTGGTGACAAATGGTGTTAGAATCACTTGGGGTAGAATGGGCTGCTCAAGGGAGGGAACCGAGGGAGGTCGGAGGTACCTCCAGGCTGTGTATCTCGACATGGGCTAGTTGCCCCTCGGCAGGGTGGTGGGGACACACCAACACCAGCTGGCCTCCAGCTCCAAAGCACACCACCACGTGTGGCAGCGGGAACTTGTGGGGTACCACCAGGACTGGGGTGGACACCGAAGGCCCCCCTGCAACGACACAGGCCACTGTGAGTCCCCTCACCCAGACCCCACACCACCTCCACTACGGAGGACATGACCAGATCCCAAACCTGCCCCCCCAAATTAAGTAACCCTCCACTGACACCACCACCCCTCCCATGCAAGAACCATCCCCTAAAGCAGAAGACAAATACATGACAGCTCCTGCACCCACCAGGACAGAGCCACCAGACTGTGCACCCACGCTGCAGCCCCCTGGTCACACCTTGCTCCTGCACAACCTCCTCCAGGAAAGGACCAAGCTGCGCAACAGCAAATCTCCTAACGCCAGCTATTTGTTTCCTTGCTCTCCCCTTGTCAGAAGGTGCCAGGACCCCATCACACCTCACCTGCTTGTGCTGGGCTCCAGGTCCCCGAAAGCGTGGGGTCATAGTGGTCGGCACCATCGTGGATGTACTGGCTGAGCTCATAGCTGCTGGAGCTGAGCCCCGACTCCCGGTACTGCAGGAGCAGGCTGGGCTGGCCCGAGGGCTGTGAGGAAGGGAGAAAACACAAACCTTGCTGAGAAACAGGACAGCGATGCTTTTTTGCTCCCAGGGTGGTGGGACCAACTCTGCTGCTCCCTAAAGCGCCCAGCAAAAACAGCACAGTGGATTCCCATCTAAGCACCTCACTCTTCAGCATCTTAAGTTCATCATGGCACATACCCTAGTCATATCCAATGGCTTTTAAAATAATTTACATGAGCCACTGTTCTAGCCCAACAGCTTTCCTAGCCCTGCAGTCAGACGACAGTGCTTGGGAATCCAAAAAAAAAGCTGTGCCCAGGAGCAAAACTGCCAGAGTAGCTTTGACTTGATCTTTTAATTTGTTTTTTTGGCAAAACAAAGTGATTGGGACCAAGTGTGATGGAGCAGACCTTGGTGGATAGAGCTGAAAGTAACACACAGCTTTTGGCTACCTAGGGAGGATGCAGGGGAGCATCCCACCAAGCCTGGATTTCTGTCTTGCTCTTGGCCCTGTGTGGGAGCGGTGTACGGCCCCATGCCTGGGGGAACAACAATCCAGCAGAAGAAGAGTTCATAAATACTAATAACCCACTATAATAATCCCCAGAGACCATTAAGCACTGAGTGCAACATAGCCAAGCAGCCCTTTTCTCCTCAGCTGGAGGAGATGCATGGAATGCTCCCAAAATCTCTGGGATATCCCTAAGACTTGTGTCCCATCCCTGCCCATCTCGAGGTTACCTCTTGGGGCTGGCCACCGACCTCCCCTGAATCACTGCTGAGCGTTTCTCCCCCTGCCCACTCAGGCCAGGCAGCTGAGGCGTATCTCTCCTCATAGGAGTCGTAGGTCTGCGTCCTGCAGAAGGGAGCAAAAGGAGATGCCCTGAAGGTCAGAGATTTTTGGGACCAGACAGAAACCTGCTAATTTTGCAGTAGATGGTTGTACCAGGTGATGCCCAGACCCCCCGTCCTTACCTGTCCTGCCCTGGGGGGGTTGCAACCAGGTTGGGGTGGTAACCCCTGTAGTAGTGCTGGTCCTGGTAATTGGTACTCTTGCCGTAAGGCTCTCCCTGTCTCGGGTCTAGAGGGAGAATCGAGATTTGGCATTGCCCTTCCAGAGCAACAAGCCATAATGAAGTTGCAAAAGAAAAGCAATGAGTCAGACAATTTGCCATGCACACCCCATTTGCTTCCAAATTAACCTGGCAAGTTGGAGGTGTGATAAAGCCTTGTACGTGTTTGCCAACACAGCACTGATGTCCTTTCCTCTTTCCTCCCTCCCCTTTTTCTTCAGGCCAGGAACTCCAGAAACAGCAAAAACAAGGCCCCAGCCACCCTGCTCACCACCAGCATCGAGTTCAGCCTGGAACCAGGAATGATGCAAGTTGTTAGCCATGTAGATCAAGATTAAACATTCCCTTGGGTACACCTAGTTCCTGCTCACGTCTCCCAGATGCAAACTGAGGGCCGTGCTCCATGGGGAGAAGAGCACTAATGGCCCAGGAGCAAGCCCTGGAGATGTGCAAGCCCCGGGAGAACAACCCATCCTAGAGAAAGTATTGCTGCTTCTGCAAGCAGCAAGTTGCCTCCATTCCCAGACCCAAAGGAGAAGCCCATACCTCTGTCATCCTGCCAGCGCACTGGCTGCCACTGGTGGCTTTGGTAGGCGTAGTCATCCCCATAGCTGGCTGCTGGATACTGCCAATGGGGGTCTTCATATCCTTGCCTGAAACACAACATACTTAATCTGAGAGAGAAAGGGTACCGCTGCAGGTTCGGGACAACATCTAGGGTTAGACTCATGCCCTGGACAGTATCTTTGGAGGCAGAAAGGGTGATGGAAATAAAGCCAGGTCCCCTGCTCAACAGCAAGGCCAGGAACTGGTCTAGCATCACACCTGGAAGAGCAGGAGGGAATGGAAAAGGATCCAAACCATCTGCGGGAAAGCTGTGCTCTGCAGTTTCAAGAGATGCCCAGTTTCAGCTTCATGAGGTGGACTTATCACGGGGATCAACTTTCCCCACATTTTAGGAGAGGTCCCCCAAGGGCACCTTCTCTGCCAAGCTCTGGAGCTGCCGTGTCGCCCGCACAGCTCAGTGCGGGTCTCCCCCTGCCCCCAGCTGCCCACCCAGCACTCACGCACCTCAACCCTTCACCATTTACACAGCAGTTTGGTCACCCTCGTGCCACACTCCCCCTTTCCCAGCACATCATCGTACCACCTCAGCACAAAACCCCTGCGCACGTATCCGCGCCATAACTCACCGAGGGCAATAACTCAGGCAAATCAACCCAAATTTGCTGGAGCGCTCGAAGCTCTCTCAGCACATCCTCTAGTCCACATTTTATCCCTCCACCCTCCGCTGTTTCAGCAGCTGAGCTTGCAAGCTCGCTTTTGCTCCTATATTACCGTTTATATTTTTATTGTTCACCTTGCACTTAGTAAAAAAGAACCGCATTTAATCAAACCTTCAAGAAAAACGCACCTCAGGACCGAGATAAAGCCTGTAAAATGGCAGCCGCAGAAGTCACAGCTGTAAGAAGAAACTGGACCTGCAACTGCTACGCAGCCTTAAATATTAAAGTCACCAGCTGCTTTAATTGCTGGACATCACCTAATTACGTACTGCCTCGAGCCTGCTCGCTGCTTCCTCTACATGGTTACAAGGGCAGGACCCAAGTCCAAGCCTTCAAGAGCGGTCAAATGGTCAGATTTTATTTTAAGAAGGTTTACAACAAGGAGGGGGCTCAGCCCGAGCGTCACAAAGTTGGGCAGCTCTCACCTGGAATACGGCCCATTGGGGTAGCTGCTCTCAAAGTACTCGGCCCC